GTCCCCAGCGTCCGGAGTCCCTGCGAGTAGCCCTGCCCTTTCCAGACCATCTTTTCCAGTGATCAGTTGGAGAGGGGTGGAGAAGAGAGCAACGACGAACTCCATCAATCAATGAATGCGTTTTGCCGAGCAGCCGAAACTTTGCCGCAAGGAACCGTAGGACGAGGAAAGAAGCCCCTTCGGGGCCTCAGTTCTGCGCAGGTGCACGAGGCACGCCAGGGGAAACCCCATGGAAGGAACTCTGGGCCATCGAGCCCCGCGTGAAACCAGAAGGCGCATCCCAAACATTCGGCTGCAATGTCACCGCGTGTGGAGCTGCCTGCCCTTCCAGGACCGCAGGGAACCCGAGAGACCCCAGCTCCGAGCAAGCGCCGCCTCACACCCTGACACGGAGCCGGCCAGGCGGCCCGTCTTTCGACCTCGTTCGGCTACACGCGAGGGTGACCCCAGGCAAGAGTGACCTGTTTGGCGGCGCACACGAGCGGGTAGGGGGGAGGGGGGAAGGCTGCTTAGCAGGAGGCTGCTTCTTGGAAGGCGCCCGCCTCACGTCTACAGACAAGGCCCGCGCCTTCTACGGACTAGGGGTGATACTGAGAAGCCTCCCCCCTCCCCCCTACCCCCCCCTGCGCGTTGCTGGCCTTTGGCGCGCGGCTTCCAGGGACCGCGGGGAGGACGAAGCCTGGCGCGCAGGCCAATTTCCGGGGGACCCCCGCAGGCCCCGCCGACCCGTCCGCACCTCGTGGGTCCCTGCACGGTCCGGTGACGACCACGCCGTCAGGCGAGTCGGAGGTGTGGCAGGCCGACGCCGACCGACCCGCCGAAACGCTGACCCGCCTGCCCGTCGGGCGTAGAGGGAGCGACCTCGTCCGCATCAAAGATGTTGTTTTAGGTGCGCTGCAAGTAAAAGTGGCATCCTGATGTGTAGTCTCCTCGAGGAGCGTCCAGAGCTTATTCAAGCGCCTGTTGCATTGCAGTCTCATCTGCTCTATTTCCATTGTTAAACGTGGGGGAGCAAACGTCGTAGGGGGTGCCACGCCGGCGAAAATTGTCGCAGAACCTAATCTTCACGCTGGCGAGAAATACGTCGCCCGAGCGCCAGCGAAAACTATGCACCATCTCAGCGTCGCCAATGATAATGGTGAACCTTATGAATATGGTAATTAATGATGGTGGTGATGACGATGCTGATGGTGAAGATGATCACGTGATCATGAGGATGATGGTGAAAAAAATGAGGACGGTTCAGCCAGATGCGGTAAATTGACCAAATTGTAAATATGACGATAAAGCTGATGATGATGATGATGATGATGATGATGATGATGATGATGATGATGATGATGATGATGGTTGTAGCAGTGACGATGATGATGTTGATGATAATGATGGCGGTGATGCCAATGGACATCAAGAGGACGACGAATATAATGGCGATGAAGATGGGGAGGAGGACGACGAAGGGAATGCCGTCACATGTGCCTCCTTTTCGTCTTACTTCTCGGGGCCTGCATGGACCTTATTTTGGCCGTCTTGGGGCTGTCCTGGTCTCCTGAGGGGCACTCATGAAGGTCCCATGTAGCTTCCTGGGGCCGTCATGGGGACCTCTTGGGCCGTCTTGGGTCTCTCATTGGGCCTTCGTGGCCATTTGGGGGGTCTCTTGGGGCCGTGGCAGGTAGGTGCCGTCGAGGCGTGCGAGATGTAAACGTTGAGTCAAAAATCTCTCGTGCTGCTCTCTCGACCTACCCCGCCACAACCTGCTGGAATTCGTAAGTTGGGGAAAAACGCATGACGCACCTCTCAAATCATATCCGCAAGACATGGCGCAAACATACTGATCAAAACGTGTGGTAGCTCTCCAGGCAAGCGAATGTGAACAAACGCGGGACACGTGCAATGCGCGAGCGCGTTTGCTGCACAATTGACGAACATCTGTATGAAGCACAACTCAATAACCGTAAATTTTGCGAACGATCTGTATTCATAGGCACCGGCAAAAATTAAGCCGCCATCTCGCGAGGGCCGGCGGTAAATATTATTCGGGGCCCAACGCCGGCGAAAATCAGATTGCTGCCCAAAAGTGCGCGCTGTGAAAATTACACCACCCACGTTTAAGGAAGGAAATAGAGTAGGCTGCAGTCTGCGCTGCATTCGGCCCCTCCCTGGTTGTGTTGGGAATTGGAAGCCGCACGCCGCAGCAAATCCTGGCCACACCCTGCTTGGGCCCAGGATTGGCGTAGAGACCAGCCCGGGCCTGTCCAGGCAGAACACAAGGCATCCCACGGCAACCCTGGGCTCCACAAATGCCTGGCCCGCTCGGCCGCTGGGCGACTCGGAGGCCCCATCCCGGCTGCTGCAGCTCCAGAACAGGCCGATGAATGCAGCTCTCGCGCGCGCGGTACTGAAGGGGCCCAGGGACACGCAAATAGCTAGACACAAATCCCAGGATTCCCCTATACTTTCCATTTTTTCTGATGCTCGTCTTCCCCCCCGCTTCCCATACTTTGCGTACTTCTATGGGAGCCGACGACTATTTGTGTCTGCGCGCCACTGCACGCCCTCCCTGCACTCCCGCGCCGACCTTTGGGGTCCGATCGGGCCCCGTCTTTATCTCTGATCTCGTCTCTTGCTCTTTGGACGCCCGAAATGGGTACGGAAAACATGGGTACAATGCCTAACAACAAATGTTGTCCCAAACCAACAGCGGCCGCTGTTGGGTAGGCGGCCTTCTGTCTCAAATGGACACAGGCCGCGGCGGCGCGGACAGCGAGCCTTGCTCAAAATTAACAGGAACTGCTGTTGGGCATTGTACCCATTCTTTCCGTACCCATTTCGTTCGTGCCGATGCTCTTTCGCTTCTCGGGGGTCTTCTGACCCGGGTCAGTCCCGACCCGGGTCAGCCAGGCCTTACAGCATCCTACAAGATCCAGCACCCAAACACGGGTCCACGCGAAGGGTCCTGCAAAATCCTGCAGGATCCTGCACCCAAGCCTGGGTCAATGCGACCCTGGCCCTGCAGGATCCTGCAAGATCGGGCGCTCTGGCTGACCCCCGTTTGCATGGACCCCCGTCTCCAGGCTCCCGAGCTTCGTGCCTGCACGAGCTTCCGGTGCAGCCCACCCCTCGCTTTGACCGGCGCCTGACCGTCTCGCACACCCGAGCGCCCGCGGACCTCACACGTCTTAGATCGGCCGTGTCCCCCTGCAGACGGATTTTGGGCAACAACAACAACAACAACAACAACAACAATCATTTTACCCGAACGCTCAGTGTTCTCCCCAGTGCCAGGGTTTTATTGCGACGCCAGCCAATACCCCCACTTCGTGGGGGGGCAATGCAAGCTCTACCAAACATCCACACGACTCTCGGGAACCACCCACACCCAGCTTCCCGCCCTATGACGTCAGGACACTTCACTTCGTGGCGCGCGGACGATCGTGGATACTACACTGGCGTGGAGTACACACCCGCAGAGGTTGATCACTTGTTTGGGCCCCGAGGGGGGAAGCCTCCTGGCGCCGCATGGGGTCCTCTTGAGAGGCTTTGGGGGGTTTCTTGAAACCATGTTGGGGCCTCTTGGGGGCTTATTGGATCCTCCCGGAGGACTCTGGGAGCCGCTTGGACGCCTCCCGGGGCCATCTTGGGGGCCTCTTGGAGCCAACTTGGAGCCTCTTTGGAACCTCTTGGGGCCCTCTTGGAGTCCTCTTGGGGCCTCTTGGGACCATCTTGGGCGCCTCTTGCGGCCTCATGGGCGCCTCTTGGGGCCATCTTGGGGGCCATCTTGGGGGTCTCTTGGAGCCACCTTGGAGCCCCAAGGATGACGCATGCAATGCTCATACTTTCTCCTGCTTTCGCAAACAGGTCCACTGGCACTATGAATGTAGACGAAGCATACTAAGGCGACTCGTCCTCTGCGACGTCGCGAAAACGCTTGGATACACGGCCCAAATGGCCAATGATATTGGCCATGCGCCTGCTGGCGGGAGAGTCGGGGCTCGCATACGGCGTTGCGAACGCGGCCACGACATGCGCCGGCAAGAGCGGGTAATCGAGCATGTTCGGATACTCGTCGCTCTGACCGACACACCGCCATACGGGCAACCACCACCACTGGTCTTGACGCGGATACTTTATCTCTGGGCCGACCTCATGGGATACGTTCCAAAGGGCCATGAACGGCGGGTCCGTACCCATGAAGGCCGTGTGATACGCAATGAATACGTCCAAGGTGGCGAGGGCCCTGTACGAGAGGCCGGATACGATCTCCGCGTGAATGGGAATATCGAGCTGACCGAGCAAATACCGCATACTGCTATACATCCACTGGCCCGGGTGGATGAAGAGGTGGGCTTTCCAGGCGACGATACCTCGCCCGGTGCATAGCGTGTCGAATACGTCCAGAAGGAAGCCAATGGGCTTCCCAAGCTTCTTATCCTGGAATACCGCGACATTCCCGAATACCGCGTGCGCGTAGAAGAAGGCCTCGAAGTATACCCAATCCGGCTCGGGGATGCCCCCCCTACTGTGCTGGTAGTTCGGGTCGTTGTTCGTCTTCGACAGCCTCGTTGACATACCGCTCGATACGGCGAGGCATACGCCCCTGACGCCCTCCCACACAATAGGGGAGAAGATACCGCACGCGAACCACCTCTCGGAGCCACACTGCTTCAGCCATTGCCGCGCATACGCCTCGTCGTTGGGTGGCGTGTGCCAGCGCTCCATACTGCAGCGCACTTCATCATCGCTTGGGTAATACTCGCCCGTGACGGGGTCGAGCCGACCGGCCATCTGGGAAGACGGCATCGTGGTCCTTCGCGACATACCCTGAAATGTAGTTGAGCCGGCCGTTGCCTATCTGAACATCTATCTCGGCGCAGAATACACGCGAGAGGAACTTGACGAATGCCGACACGACAGCCGTCCCGGTGCGCCCCTGGAGATACTGCAACAGCCCAAAGCATACAACCCACGCGCAGATGTGCCAGTGCGGGGTGCCACGGCCTTGGTACTCGGTCTTCATACACCACTCGTAAAC